ACAGACCCCCGACTCCAGACAATCACTGGGTCAGGACCTTGGTTAATCTCTCTGGAATCCAAATCGGCTGCTGTTCTCCCTGTGGAAACACACAAACAGACCCCCGACTCCAGAAAATTACTGGGTCAGGACCTTTCCATTGTCCTGTTAGAATATCCTTCCAAAGTACCTTGGGCTTATGTACATTTTTTGGACACATATGCCTTTCCGCAGCACTAAGTCCTGATGAATCCAAATTTAAAAAGTTTAGAGTAAAAAGGGTTATTTAAAGTTTATCTTTGGGGAATATATACCCCTTCCCAATTCCTTCTTTTTGCTTTAATAAGTACATTTTAATAGTTTGATGAGCTCTTTCAACTATGCCTTGTCCCTGTGGATTGTATGGGATTCCTGTTATATGAGTAATGCCAAATGTTGAGCAAAATTGTTTAAAAGAGGTAGAAGTATAACCAGGGGCATTATCTGTTTTTAACTGTTTTGGAATACCCACAGTGGCAAAATTTTGTAAGCAATGAGCTATAACATCTTTAGTTTTTTCTCTGGCATGAAGGGAGCCCATCAAAAATCCAGAAGAAGTATCAACGGTAACATGCAAATATTTTGATTTTCCAAATTCTGGCAAGTGTGTGACGTCCATCTGCCAAATATGGTTAGGTATCAATCCTCTAGGATTGACTCCAAGATTAACTTGTGGTAAAAAGGTCACACAATTTTGACATTGTTTTATTATTTGTCTAGCTTGTTCCTTAGTTATTTTAAAACGCTTTTGTAAAGTATTAGCATTGACATGGAACTTTTTATGAAAATTTATGGCTTCTTCTAGTGTAGAGAAAATATGTATGTCATGTGTAGTTTTATCTGCTAAATCATTGCCCAAACTAAGGGCTCCAGGCAATCCTGTATGTGCCCTGATATGTCCTATAAAGAATGGATCTTTTCTGTCCCAGATTAGACTTTGTATAGTGGAAAGCAAAGAGAAAACAGTAGAAGAAGGGGAAATCCTACCAGCATCTTCAAGAGATACTATAGCATTGACTACATACTGACTATCAGAAAATAAATTAAATACAGAATCTTTAAACATCACAAAAGCTTGTAAAACTGCATTAAGCTCTACCTTTTGAGCTGATTGTTTGGGTACTAAAAATGTAAAAGTTTGATCAGGGGTAACTACTGCTGCTGTACCATTATTTGACCCATCAGTGAATATATTTGGAGCATTCATGATAGGTGTTTTTCTTGTCATTTTTGGAAAAATTACAGGATGCAATGACCAAAAAGACAATAAAGGATTAGATGGTAAGTGGTTATCAAATGAAACATTAGATTTACACATGATTATTGCCCAAGTATTTAACTCATTAGCTAACTCATCAATTTGATTCATAGTATATGGAGTAATAATTTTATTGGGAGAAATTCCAAACACTCCCTTGGCTGCTTTTATTCCTTTGAGTATTAATTGTCCTACAGCCTCAGGATACCTAGTAAGAATAGTGTTAGGAGAATAAGATAAATGTATCCATAATAATGGACCTTCTTGCCAAAATACTCCTGTAGGAATATTTTTTGTTGGTAGTACAATAAATAATAAAGGCAAACTTATATCAATTCTATCCAAATGCATATTTTCCATATATGTTTCAATGATTTTTAATGCCTTTCTTGCTTCAGGCGTTAACATTCGGGGTGAATTTGGATCTGATGGACCTTTTAGGATATCAAATAAAGGTCCCAACTCTCCTGTTGGTATACCTAAATAAGGCCTTATCCAATTTATGTCTCCTAATAACTTTTGAAAGTCATTAAGTGATTTGAGTTGATCTACTCGTATTTGAATTTTTGGTGGACGGACCATGGTTGAGGATAATAGAACTCCTAAATAATTAACTGGAAAATTTAATTGTACTTTATCTATTGCTATCTCTAGATTATAATTTTTTAATAAGTTTGTAAGTGTGGCATAACATTCTAGCAATGTGTTTTTATCTTTGTGTGCTAATAATACATCATCCATATAGTGAAATATTTGTAGTTCAGGATTTTGATTTCTAAGTGGCTGGATTACTTTGTTAATATAAATTTGACACATAGTTGGGCTGTTAGCCATCCCTTGAGGGAGTACTTTCCATTCATATCTCTGATCAGGACCTTCATGATTCAGTGCAGGGATAGTAAATGCAAAACGTGGACTATCCTCAGGATGAATTGGAATTGAAAAAAAACAATCTTTAATATCTATAACTAAAACATACCAGGTTTTTGGCAAAGCAGACAACTGAGGAATCCCTGATTGAGCAGGTCCCATAATAACCATCTCATTATTAATGGCTCTTAAATCTTGCAATAATCTCCATTTACCAGATTTCTTTTTGATGACAAAAATGGGAGTATTATGGGGAGATACAGAAGGTTGTATATGTCCTTCTGCTAATTGTTGTTTGACCAGGTCATGGGCTGCTTGTATCTTTTCTTTAGTCAGGGGCCACTGAGGAACCCATACTGGTCTTTCTGATTTCCAAGTAGTTTTTATTGTCTCAGTGGCCCTTTCTGAAAATCCAACCCATGTCTGTCTGTTCCTTGATCTATTTGTATTGGTGCTGCTATACCTTGTTCTTGTTTTTCTAATCTTTTTCCTTTCCTAAAACCTTGTCTAGTCATAATAGTGGGTGCATTTTGGTTGATGTTATTTGTTAATGTCAAACTTAATTGATCTAGGACATCTCGTCCCCATAAATTTATAGGAAGATGATCCAATACATATGGCTGTATAGTTCCTTCACATCCTTCAGGATCCTTCCAATCTAATACCATTGCACTTCTATGGGGATTAGTTGCCACTCCTAGGCCTCGAAGCGTTTGAGTGTCTTGTTGTAATGGCCAATGTTTTGGCCATTCTTGACGAGAGATGATGCTAAGGTCTGCACCTGTATCCAGTAGTCCATTAAATTCATGTCCTTGAATATTTAGTTTTAGCATGGGGTGAGAATCTAAATTTAAAGAAAGCATAGCCCAATCTACACCTGTGGAGCCTAATCCCTTGGAACCTCTTTCTACAGTACGACTGGAAAATTTATCATGTAGGCTGGGTATTATTAGTAACTGTGCTATTCTATCTCCTGGTGAAATTACTGATATACCCTTTGGAGAACTGGCTATAATTTTTATTTCACCTTCATAATCGGGATCAATTACCCCAGGACTTATCATAAGTCCTTTTAGAGTAGAAGAGCTGCGTCCCAATAATAAGCCTACTGTTCCTTTGGGAAGAGGTCCTTTCACCCCTGTGGGAATGATTTGAACTCCCATCTCTGGAGTTAGTACTGCTCTGGCGGAGGCACAGATGTCCAACCCTGCGCTCCCTCTGGTTTGTCTGATGAGGGATCTGATGGACAATGTGTCCTGGGCACTACCCTGATGGGGTTGCTGGGTTCCTCCAGTGCTCCGTATATTTGTGGTTTTGGGCCCCGGAGCATTGGGCCCCCCTGTCCATTTTTTGGCAATGGAGCCCGATGCCTTTCTCCACAATATCATGGATAAACACCTGGTCCTTGTTCGTTTTTTGATAATGGAGTACCCTCTATGGTGGTTTGAGAACGGCATTCATTAGCCCAATGTCTCCCTCTACGGCATCGTGGGCAAATACCTGGTATTCTACTCCTTTGATACCTAGTTTTGTTAAACCCTCCTCCAATGGGGCAATTCCTTTTAAAATGTCCTGTTTGTTCACAATTGTAGCATGTTCTTGGCCTGGCATCTAAAGCCTGTTTTACTGCAGCTGCCACAATTTGCCCTTGTTCATTAATGTCTCTGGCATCTAAAGCCTGTTTTACTGCAGCTGCCACGACTTGCTCTTGTTCATTAATGTCTCTACATAATTTAATATATGTGTTTAAATCTTCATGTTTCCATGGTCTAATGATATCTCTGCACCAACGATTCGCTTGCTCATAAGCCAGGTGTTTTAGTAATGGCATTGCTTGTTCTGTATTCCCAAAAACTCTGGTAGCTGTTTGAATAAGCCTATCTACAAATTCAGCATAAGGTTCATTAGCTCCTTGTATTACCTTAGATAATTGACCTTGTAAACCTCCATGTCCTTGTAAAGTCTTCCATGCCTTAATTGCATCTGCAGCAATTTGTGCGTATACGCCAGGATCATATGCAATTTGTTGCTGCTGATCCTCATAAGGTCCCTTTCCTAACAACATATCTAGATTTCTCTGAGGATAACCAGCTGCTGCATTTCGCCTAGCCGTCTTCTTGCAAAATTCCTCATTGGCAACCTTCCATAACAGGTATTGTCCTCCATTTAGCACAGCTTTACACATATTAGCCCAATCTGCTGGCGTCATGTTCAAGTTGTTAATGGATTCGACCATGCTTACAGTGAAGGGTGCTTGAGGACCATAGGTTGTTACAGCCTCTTTTAGCTGCTTCACTGTTTTGAAATTTAAAACTTGGTAAAATCGCTGCCCTCCTGCCTCAAATACAGGGCATGTTAATATTGGAGATGTTGAGAGCCACAGCCGAAGGGGCCCCAGCAAACTTCCAGCTGCCAGCAACCAAGTATTTCAGTGACATGGAGCTATGAGAAATCTTCTGTATGTTTGACAGGGAAAGTAAATTCTAACAGCTATTATGAGTGGAATTGGCAACACCTAGTATAGTTTAAGTGTTAATACCTTAGGGCACAGAAAAAATGCTCTTAGGCATGGAAAGTCTTGCACAGGTGCACAATGCTCAGAAGCAAGTTTATAATTGCAGAAAAGTGGAACCCTTCTTACTGCTCATGGAGAAGAGAATGGATCAATCATGGTACGTTCATTCAGTGAAATACTTCCTAACCAACCACAGACATGGATGAGACCTTGAACATAGTGCTTAACAGAAAAATTAGCTTTTCAGAAGAACATCAACAATGTAACATTATATAAATAAATTTTAAAATCTAACAATACTTTATATCATTTGTCATTATGTACATGTGGAGTAGAGGAACAAAACGACACCACACCCAGGCAAAGCAGCCCCAAGTTTAAAGTCAATGCTTGTTTTGGTGGGGAGAGAACTCTGCCGTGAGGGAGGATCCAGAGCCACTTCTCATTTGCTTATCATATCACAAGTCTTCAGTGTATTTTTTTGGAATTTTGTGTATAAAATGTTTTGTAATAATTCTTCATTTTTATGCTTTTTATAAAAAGTTTTGAATATAATAAAAAACAGCTAATGTAGAAGTGATAGTCTCCTACCATCTAACTGCCTTAAGTTACATCTGTTAATATTTTGGTGTATTTTTCCAGATAAAGTTCAAGTATTTTGTTACCATCAAGTGTGCAGAAGAGCACTTTGCTCGATTTAGTTGATTTGTCATCGTCATGTTGTAAGCTTGTTCAAGGAGTACAGCCTCCTTTTATTTTTTTTATTTATTTATTTTATTTTTATTTTTTATTAGTTGTTCAAGACAATACAATGATCTTGACATATCATACATTTGATTCAAATAAGATATGAATTCTCATTTTTCCACGTGTACAGATTGCAGGATCACATTGGTTATACATTCACGTGTATACATACAGCAATCCTAATGTCAGTTGTATTCTACTGCCCTCCCTATCCTCCTCTCCCCTCCCCTCCCCTCACATCCCTATTGTCTACCCATTCTACTGTGATACTTATCTCTCTCTCTCTCTCTCTCTTTTTTTCCCTTCCCTTCCCCCTCACACCATTGTATATGTATTTTGTGAACCCAGGAGAGTCTCCTTCCATTTTCTGTGCATTTCCCTTCTCCCTCCTTTTCCCTCCCTCCTCTTTTCCTTACTTCATGGTAATCTTCTTCTCATGCTCTTCCTTCCTACTTTGTTTTGAGTCACCTCCCTTATATCAGAGAACATTTGACATTTGTTTTTTAGGGATTGGTTAACTTCGCTTAGCATAATTTGCTCTAGTGCCATCCATTTCCCTGCAAATGCCATGATTTTGTTATTTTTTACTGCTGAATAATATTCCATTGTGTATAAATGCCACATTTTTTTAATCCATTCATCTGTTGAAGGACATCTGGGTTGGTTCCACAGTCTAGCTATTGTGAATTGTGCTGTACACATGTAGTATGTTCTTTTTAGGTCTTTTGGGTATAGTCCGAGAAGGGGAATAGCTGGGTCAAATGATGGTTCCATTCCTAGCTTTCCAAGGAATCTCCATACTGCTCTCCAAATTGGCTGCACCAGTTTGCAGTCCCACCAGCAATGTACGAGTGTAACTTTTTCTCCACATCCTCGCCAGCACTTGTTATTGTTTGACTTCATAATGGCTGCCATTCTTACTGGAGTGAGATGGTATCTTAGAGTGGTTTTAATTTGCATTTCTCTGATAGCTAGCGATGGTGAGCATTTTTCTGTGTACTTGTTGATTACTTGTATATCTTCATCTGTGAAGTGTCTGTTTAGATCTTTGGCCCATTTGTTGATTGGGTTATTTTGTTGTAGTTGTTGTTTATCTCTAAAAACATTTATTTATTTTTAAAAACTAGCTCCTTTCCCCCACCTCCACTAGGGTTCTTGGAAATTTACAAGCAATAGAAAAACTCTAAAATATTTTAAAACAAAGAGGTATGCAGGTACTGGAACTATACTGAAAACTTCACATATCAAAGGTCTGACCCATAAAGTCTTGAAATGGAATCAAGGCAGCTGGGGTATCCCCCCAGAGACTGTGCCACTGTGGGACTCTGACTCCTCAAGGCCTCTGTGAGTTTCCTCCAGGGAAGTTCAAATTCCTGAGAGGTGTGTGCTGGCCCAACTTAGTCTCCTTCCCCTGTGTGGGCGGGGAGCCAGGGTGCTCCCTCCTGTAACTGACTGCTCAGCTGATGGGGATACACCTCTCGAATCCCCAGTGGCAGGGAACCTAAATGATTGAGAGCCTGAGGCTGCTCTGAAATCCACCTGAGGACAGCACTGAGCCTAGATTCCCTCTCAGGCAGCTCCCAGTCAATAACCGCCCCAGTAGGGGTACGAGGCAAGCCCCTTCTTGGGAAGCTTGAGCAAGACTCCCTGGAATAGACTTCAGAACTGTTCTTTATTCTAAGACTGTTCTACCCCATCTTCCTTCCTGTTTCCCCTCTTCTTTCACCAGACTGAGTCTGATGCTCTCCCAGCCTCTCCTGGCTTCCTCCCCGTTTTCTCTGACAGGCATTTCCCCACATACATTTCTTTACACAAATTAATCCCATCTTGCCATCTGCTTCTTGAAGGACCTGGACTAAGAGCTACATGAAGTAGGTGAAGACTCTTCTCCAAACGACAGGCGCTGGGCAGAAAGGGACCACCTGTATTCCAACACCAGCCTAGTCATGTGCCCTCACAAATCCTTCTGAGGTTTTCCAGAAGCATTCCTGTCCCAGGGCTTATGAGTTTCCACATGTAATTGTAAACACTCCTGTCCCCTCTTCAATGAAAGGTGACCCAAAGTCATGCCATCTTTTGTATCTGAAAGTAAAAACTTAGCTGAGGTCGTAACTCAGTGAATTACGAGGCCGTGGGTTCAATCCCCAGCACAGCACAGGTTAAAAAAAGACTTAGTTCTGAGTTTACGATCTCTCAAGAAGTTCCATTTCACCTCTTATTCCATTGCAGTCCAATCTTGATGATTTGAAGTCCATGGTGAACTTTATCATTGCCCAAACAGCTGCTAATAATGGGGGAATAATAATGTCAGTAGAAATAGAAGTGAAATTTTAACAAAAAAGAAGAAATGAAGGAAACAGAAACTGAGATTAAGATTGGTCACAAGAACACAGCTGGGACTCCTGTTCTCCTGCTGTTGCAGTCCCACTTGGTCAGCACTCTACAGGGATCTGGGCTTGCTAAAGGGCCGAACTCCCCACCCAAGGGCTCTCTGTGGTGTAAGGTGTAAGGTGAGTGGTCTTTGTGCACTTCTGCTAGCAGGAATGGTGTGGAAAGAAGAGCCCCAGGGCCTTCCCAGATTCTCACTGTTCTCTTCAGGCCTGCCACCCAGCCCCCATTTGGATGCTTTGGGCAAATAAAAACAAACAAACAAGTAACAGAAACCCCACCTGAAACTGAATAAAAACCCATGAACAGAAAATCAGAAGGAAGACGGGATTCCAGGCTTTTTGGGTCAGAGCCCCTGTGTGATCCTCTGTGGGTCAGCTTTAGCCGTGCCACCAGGAGCCACACAGTGGAGGACTGGCTGCTGCCTCTCAGATACAGTGCATGCTTTGAATTCATTTGAATCCATCATTTTATGATTTTATCTTAGTGGAATGCACAAATAGGGGAGTCCAAAAGTAAAGTTGGGAGATGGGACAGACAGGAGGATTCTCTCCTGATGACAACTCATGACCACTTGCTTCCTTTCCCCAGGACTCCTGGCTCTGCAGGTCGGAAGTCCTCACTGAACTCTTCTCCCTTCTCAGCCCCACTCCAAGACGCACAAGTTCTTCACCGAAACAGAAGCTGGCACTGCCACCTGCTTGTGTCTGGCTTTTTGTACAACCAGGAAAACAGACAAGAAGGGAGTTAGGGTGTGTTGGGACTGTACTTGAGCATGACCTCTGCAAGGGCAAGAGGAGCTTGCCCCTCACAGAAGCTCTTCCCTCAGCACCCATCCCTGCCTTCTCCCTTGGCATCAGAACCCGAACTTCCACCATGATTCATTTGTTCCCCTCACAACTCGTGAGACACAAGAGATGACAATTCCATTCCCAGCCACAGGAATGGGGTCCTGATTCGTCTCAGTCAAATATGGTGATTCCATCAGCGTTACAGTAGTAATGTCAGAAACTTCAGTCCAAGCCAATTGGCACATGACACCCCCTACAACTACTAGTGGTTTGGACTGGGAAAAGTGACCCCTTTGGTACGGGGAGACAAATGGGACAGGCTGTCATTCTGTGACTGGGACAGAGGTAAGAGAAGAAACATGGTGTCCAGCAAGCCACTAGCAGTCAATTTGTGATCACAAGGGAAGGTAGTCTTCTTTGCAGTTTTCTTTGCAGCATTACTTTAATATTTAATCAGGGTTATCAGATCCTTCCTCCTAGGTTTAACCAATGCATTTCCAAATTATTTTAAAAGCACACTGCACAAAGCACAATTCTACTTTTCCAAATTACTAAAAAAAGAAAAAAAAAAAGAAAGAAATTTCTTTGTTACATAACATTTCAACTGTTGATCAAACACCCCACCTGCAACGTAACAGATCTCTTGCAATTTCATAACACTTCTCTTTCTGTAAGCAGTCAAGTTTCAGCCATCATAAAACAATTTTTATCCAATTTAGGATCTTTAAAAGTCTTTTGATCATTCTTTCCAATTTGGAAGTTCCACTGTGTTTTATGGTCCCAAATGACACCCCCTTGCTTCTTTCTTGATCATTTCCTATTGCAAAAGAGAATCCACAGATAATGATGCTGGCAGACAGGACAGGTGGAGAAGGCAAATTCAGATGCAGAATAGGCCTGTCATGGTGAAGGAAAGATCATTCTCCTTTCCCAGCAGAAAGGAGTTCAAAGTCCCTGGCTTACTATCAGATGGCTGGTCATCTCAAGATTGGGGATTAAGTGTGAATCATGGTGGTCAGCAAATCAGGAAAATTATGCACTCAGCAGTGGCAGCTTTGGTGATGGAAAGTCCATATTTCTGAGCTTTCATATATCTTGAAGCTCTGCCACTAAAATTAATACATCCACAAGCATGTGGGATTGGCAAGGGAAAAGGGAGACTAATATAACCCTCAGGTTGTCTTGCCTCCTTAATTAAAAACCTCCTCTGCAATATGATATAAATAATCTTGACCTTGTTGGAGACATAGTGAGGGATATGGCATCAAGCCAGAATCTCCCTCATTCTAAGTCTTGGTATTCCTTGCTCTACATCAGCGTTTGCATATGAGGTGGCCCCCAAAAGCTCCTGTTAATGCAGTGAACAGTCAAAGGTAAAGTGAGAGCTGTTACCTAATTAGTCCCTCCTAGTTTGAACAGACTGACTGGTGGTAGCTGAAGGCAGGTGTGGCACGACTGGAGAAGGTGGGTCACAAGGGCACGCATCTTCCTATGAGGATGCATCTTCCCTGGGGTTCCTTCCTCCTTGTCTCTCTCGGCTTCCTGACCCCATAGTGAGTTGAGCAGCTTTTCTCCACTGGGCCTTTCGACCATGATATGCTGCCTCACGTTGGGCCCAGAGCAAAGGAGTCAGCCTTCCATGGACTAAGACCCCTGAAATGGTGAGCCCCAAATAAACTTGCCCTCCTCTAAGTTGTTTTTCTTGGCTATTTTGGTCACAGTGAAGTAAAAGCTGATTGAAACAGTCTATAGTCATTCTGGGTCGAGGATTTCTTTTGTTGGGAGTTGGGGGTGTTCTGCTCCTTGTGGAATATTTAACAGCACCTCTATCCAGTAGAAGTCTGTAGCACCCTCCAAATTCTTACAGTAAAAAATGTCTATAGACACTGCGCAGTTGTCTGAGAACCTTTGCTCTACATCATGCCAGGGGTTTCTTATCTATTTGTATGGTGCAACATGAGTACCATTGGGTCCAAGTTTGCAATAGTTAATCCACAAAATTGTTAGAAATGTAACCAACTATCAGAGCTAGCAGATTGTGCTGATTATACTGATAGCAGTACATGTATTTAGCCAGAGTCAAAATTATGATCCTCTTGGTCAAACACCTTCAAGATGCAAATCCCACAAACAGTCTCCCAAGATTTGAGAAATAAAGCAGTGAATTCTTGCAGCCTCTTCCTTCCTATTCCTATTATGCAATTTTGCACAGTCCCTAAGCCAGTGCTCTATTGCAACTCAAGCTGGATTAGACGGCAGCACCTACTGCTGTTGCCGTTACTGAACTTCTCATTGTGCAAGTGCCAATGATTGAATTCTCCCATAACCCCAGATCATGCTGAGATACCAAGAAGTTAAGCAAAAGCCTAATCAATTTTTCCTAGTTTGAACAGACTGACTGGTGGTAGCTGTAGGCAGGTGTGGCACCCTTAAAAATTTTTAAACTGTTTCATATCTGATCAAGTTATGATTATAAGAACTTCATTTTTAATTTGTAATAAAAATTTACAACCTAATTTAAGAAAAAGTCAACAAACTGCAAGCAACTACAAGTCATTACTTACTGGAGGAGAGGAGGAGTTGCCCCAAATTACACAGCCCGTTGGTTTTGAATGCATGAGTCAGGGACCATTTCCTTTCACTAGCAAGGAAGGCGGAGTTTCGGTTAGTTCTTGGACTAACTTGAGAGCTGAAGCGTCCTAACCTACACTGAAGGGAAGTACTCGATCTGAGAGAGGAATTCAGTTGGAAAGTCTGTGGCATAAGAAGACTGAAGACAGAAGAGTCCTGGTGTAGGGAGATGGCACTGTGGCCGCAGTGACTGCCCAGGAGCTCTGGATGGGGCCAAGGGAGTCAGCAGTTATGTCTCACTCTTGCCAGGGATGTTGTGAAGGTATGCACAGATTGATACATCTGAAAGCACTGGAGTCTAATCAACCCACTTCAGCTGTTTACTCCTGGAATTATTCCCATTCTCCTTCCATGTTGGCTGGTCCCTCCCACTCTAATCTTTCTACTCCTCTGGTCCTTCAAATCCCAGCTCAAGTGCACCTTTACCCTGAGGTGCAGCCGGCCTCATGGCCACAGGCCAGGCAATCTCACCTTTGTAGTCCAATGCAAACCTGGTGGATCATATTCACCTACCACTCGTGGAGAGCTGCTCTGCACGGTTGTTTTGTATGTGTTCTATACCATGTGACAGCTCCCTGGTGACTTATCATGGCTCCCACTCACAGTTGCCATAATGATAACCATTGATATTGCTTTAATTTTCCATTTGATCCAATAGGAATCTCAGATGACCATTCTAGAATTGATGCCCTGTATGGAAAAATAAAAGTACAAACACTAGATACTTTGACTTAGCTCTTATTAAATTTGAAGCCATGGGCAAAAAAACCACATTAGGATAGTATTGCCTTGAGGGATGCAATCAATGAAGTAAGCATTTTTTAAAAATGCAACACCAATGCCTAGTACAGTGGTGCATGCCTCTAATCCAGCGACTCAGGAGGCTGAGGCAAGAGGATCACAAGGTCAAGAGGATCACAAAGTCAAAGCCAGCCTCAGAACTTAGTGAGATCCTGTTGCATAAATAAATAAATAAATAAATAAATAAATAAATAAATAAATAAATAAATAAATAAAAAAAACTGGGATGTGCTCAGCAGCCCCTGGGTTCAATCCCCTGTACCAAATGAAAATTTAAAAAAAAACTAAAAATGCAACACTGAACCTGCCATCACCCACAGACAGAAAAAAGAGAGATGCTGGAAAATATTTACTTATGAGTTACCATGACAACACCAAGAGAAAAGGACATTTGCCAAATGGGTAAACTTCAGAAAGCATTCTGAGTCTTAGCACCACAAAGTTGAGGTTTTTATAAAAAATATTTTTCTTAGTTGTAGATGGACACAATACTTTTGTTTTGCTTATTTATGTTTATGTGGTGCTGAGGATCGAACCCAGTGCCTCACACAGGCAAGGCAAGCATTCTACCACTGAGCTACAACCACAGCCCCTGAGTTTTTTTTTTTTATTATTTATTTTTTAGTTGTAGTTGGACACAATACCTTTATTTTATTTATTTATTTTCATGTGGTGCTGAGGATCAAACCCAGGGTCTCACACATGCTAGTCAAGGGCTCTACAGTTGAGCCACAACCCCAGCCCAAGTTTTTGTTTTTATGAAAGGTAAAACATGGTCTTTTAAGAATCTGGTTTTTTGAGTGCCAAAATGTTTTGCCCTGTCCTATAGAATTTAACCCGTAACTGGGCCTAAGATTACAAGTTTGTTTTAAGAGACTGTTTTAGTCAGCTTTTTCGCTGCTGTGATCAAAAGACTTGACAAGAACAATTTGAGAGGAGGAAAAGTTTATCTGGGGACTCACAGTTTCAGAGGTCTCAGTCCATAGATAGCCTGCTATAAGGATGGCCTTAGGCCTTAGTCTAAGCAACTCCATTTTAAAACTCCATCTTTTTTTTTTAACCACCAATAGCATTTTATTTGGAAATTTCTATGTATTACATAGGTATTTACTTCCTCTCATCCCTACTCCTACCCCAAACCTCATAAAGATTTAAAAAAAAAAAAGTACAAAAATCTCTCATCGGATTTCTCTAAAGTCTTAGGTTAAAAAACATAAGCGGTGCTTTTCCTTGAGGGTGCTGCTCTGAGGAAAATGTGGTCCGTCCTGTGCTCACTACAGACTTCTTCTCCTTCTGGGGAAAAAATGGTCAATGCCTCAGCTTCCTTCCAATAAATTGCTTTCTCAATTATTAAACATTATCATTCCTCACTTGGCACCTTCTTAGAAATTTGATTGTTGGATGCATTTTTCATTTGGCAAAAATTCAATGTGGCTTTGCGTGGGATGTTTAAGCATAAGAAACAGCAGTGTTGATGTTCTGGTTTTGAGAGGGAAAACAGAGAGACGCATATGTTCCCTGGAAGAACAAATGTAGGAGACGAAGATGGGGTGTGCAGGGTTAACAGGGCTGATAGACACTACTCGGTTTGAATTCTGTGGCTGTCAGCTACCAGAGACTGTAGTGTAGGCCAGAATATAAATCTCTTCAAGAACAAGTTTGTTTAGGCTCTGTGAGATGACACAGCCTGCTTCATTTTGTTCCAAGTGTATCAGAGCAGACATGCACAGCAAGGAGAAGTATGGGTCATCCACAGGGGGCAGAAACCTGTAAATAAACATATGGAGGCATTTCTGCGAATGCCCCGTCAGTCCAGGCACTAGGTGAAGAAAAGAGAAGCATTCTATTAAAGTACACTTCGATCCTAACTCACCCAAGGCCCCTGGCTTCTTAGAGCCAATATATTCAAGGCCAAAATTAAGCTGAGTTACATGTCACTTGGAAGCTGGTTTGATGGGGCCACTGCAGAAGACTTGGCTTTGCCTGCGAGGTAGCGAGTCTACCCAGAAGGGTATGCCTTGATGATCTTCACGTCGTCCACAGGGCGGTCCTGGGAGTTTGTTTCCACCATTCCCACTAGATTTACCATTCCTATGCCCTGGCACACTCGGCCAAAAATGGTGTGTTTGCCATCAAGCCACTGGGTGGGGGCAAGAGTCACAAAGAACTGGCTGCCATTGGTGTCTGGCCCTGCATTGGCCATTGCAAGAATTCCAGCCCCAGTGAACTTCAAGTCTGGATGAAGTTCATCTTCAAACTGTTTGCCATAGATAGATGCACCACCTCGACCTGTCCCCGTTGGGTCACCGCCCTGGATCATGAAATCTTTGATGATTCTGTGGAATTTGGTGCCATTGTAGTAACCCCGACGAGCCAACTCAGCAAAGTTCTTACAGGTCTTCGGAGCGTGCTTCCAGTACAGCTCCAGGACAATGATTCCCATGCTGGTCTCCAAGTAAACGTTGGGCGGCTGCCAGGAGTCTGGGGGAATGGCCGCCATAACGAAGCCGGCGGACTCCTCCTCTCTTAAAACTCCATCTTAAAATAAACCTGAAGTCTCACCAGGCAAGCCACCGAGCCCTCAGATACGTCATCAGGCATAGCCTGATAAAAGCAAGTCGCTTTCCACAATCTTGGTAAGATTTAGGGTGAAGTCACATGTCATTTATTATAACCCTGATAAGAGTCAGAAGTGTGATATCAGGGCGGAAATCCAGACCATATGTTATCTCTGAGAATGAAAAATGTCACTAAGAAACCTGGTAACAGCTGATAGGGACTCAAGGGTGAGCAGAAAGCTCCCAAAATTTACTATAAATGTTGGAGCAAATGAACAGACTTTCAACCAACCCACACTGATGCACACAAGCCTGAGAGCCTGATGAGGACCTTGACTGACATTCCAACTCTTCTCCTCTTCCTGATCCTCTGCATTGTCCTCACCGCCCTCAAACTCTACAGCAGTCTATTGACTCTGGTGAGAAAAGCACTTCTCCTGACGACCATCTCCCTAGCCAACTATCAGCTCCACCCCAGGAGAAGCCTCTATGGGTTCCTGACTTGATCACCGTGGTCTGAGTAAGTGGACTTAAGATCTAAGACTTAAGACTTTGAAATCTAGCACTTAAGCTTAGCACACAGAGACAATGTCCTTAATAGGCCTGTCATGATTAAGTGTGTTTGCAATGCTTAGAGTTAACTTAGAATTGTTTGCTTTAAATTGATTGTGTCTATTGCAGTGCCCAGCATTAAGAATTATCATTCCTTGATTAAGAACCTGTAGAGTGAAATTGTATAAAGTGATTCTTTAAAATATTTATTTTTTAGTTGTAGTGGACACAATACCTTTATTTTATTTATTTTTTCTTATGTGGTGCTGAGGATTGAACTCAGGGCCTTGCATGTGCTAGGTGAGCACTTTACCACTGAGCCACAACCCATCCCTGTATTAAGTGATTTGAGTGAATAAAACATTGAAAAGGGCAGAAATGCATGGACATTCTTTATCTCTCCCCTTGAATGCTGATGTTGCACTTTTGCCCATCACAACACCCGCTCCATTCCTCGAGGCTGCAGGTGAAGAAAAACATGGCATGTGAGCGTGGTGGAGGGAAGCGGCTCAGAACATTGCACCAGGAAGCAGAGAGACAGAGCTGTCCTCACCATGACAAAGTATAAACCCTGACAGCACACTCCCAGTTCCTTTAGCCACATGCCACCAGCCTACGGTTACCACCCAGTTAACCCTTATCAGGGGATCAATGCTGATCAAGTTCATTTCATCTCTAAGCTTTCTTGCATTTTCTCACACATGAGCTTACGGGGGATACTTCCTACATAAACCATAACAGATACTGTATTTATTATAGGGAGATATGATTTAAAATTTGTTTGTTGTAGAAATTTGACGTAGTTACCTAAGCTCTAATATCTACACCATCAATGTGATGATCACCTCACCATCGATGACCTTAAAGCCTTGCTCTCTAACTTCACCAGTGTCTGCATGGCCAAAACTCCCTTTATTAGCAGAAAGCACCTTGTCTTTACAGTCTTTCTCCTTCCTGTTTCAGAAAAACACATCTATGATTTTAAAAGACTTATTGCTAAGTAAAATGAGAATCCTGTTTCTGCAATATCCCGAAGATTTCTTTTAGATGGTTTAAATATGACTCTGGAAAAGGCAGCAAGAGGGAAGGTGGGCTTTCATTAACAAAGGATGTTACCGCTTCCTCCAAAAAGGTCACCAAAATAATGCTGTGGTGAACTCTGCAGGGCAAGAAACTGAATGAGGGGGTGATTCCATCTCCTTTGGGTCTCTGTCCAGGAGAGGAATTTCTGTGTCTGTTGACAGATGAATGGATAGAGAAACCATGGTACATATACATGGAGGAATACATCCAGTCCTAAATAAGAATGCGTCATTGCCATTTGCCACACATGGGTGAGCCTGGAATGTAGGGTCTTTATTTTATTTTGAGGCAGGGGACTTACTAAGTTGCCTAGGCTAGCCTCAAACTTCCTACCTCAGCCTCTTGAGTACCTGGGATTATAGACACATACCACCATACCTAATTATTTAATTTTAAAAAAAATACTTAAAATATTTTAAAAACAATTTTTAGTCTTTTTTTGAAAACTATGCAGAAGGTGAAGTATCTTAATGTAATACAGATTATTCCCATTAAATATGAACGCTCTGCAATGCTTGGTGATAAAAATAGCCTCCTGAAATATAAGGGAGGACCAGGGGGCAGAAAGCTGATTTCAAGGTATTCACAAATTGCTAGTTCTGGTCCAAGGAGAGCCCTCCTGGAGTTCTGGTCAGTGAGACTCCCCCACCTGGTACACCCGGCCCCTCCAACTCCAGGCACCTCGTCAATAGGGACCCACTTGTAGTTGTCATTCATTCAGTATTTTGTGCATGCCAGGCAGTGTTGTTAGTGCTTTATGTGCACCAACAACTAGTTCTTCTGGCAACCCTCAAAGTTCTTGGAGAAGTTGGGTCTCCTGCCCAGGTCGCATCCAGAAAGTGGTAGACTTGGGATTCATACCAGAGAGTCTGGCTCCAGGTGCTGTTCCTTTACTTTTGTGCAAAACTACCTCAATTATTATGCCTTGTACTGGTTATTATCTTTCTTCTAAGAAAGACATTAGTGAAGAAGGCACAGAAAGTACTTGGTTCCAAAATACTAATGACTCATCGATATATTAACATTGATTTGGAACAAATGCTTCTGCTTTCTGTTTTCTCTTCAGATTGTAGCAAACAGCAAAGTGCTTTCTTTGAAATATATCCATCTTGTCTTTGTCTTTATTGTATTGTTGTTTAAGTTGGCTTATTCAAACAGGAAAACAAAGATGTCTAATTTCAGAAATAAATCAAAAACAAACCACCTGATGCTGCAAGACTCGCTCTTTCTCTGCCCTCCAGGCCTCTCTCACCATCTCTCCACTGCCATCTCTCATTGCAGACCAGACTTTTCTGCTTCCAGACTACGTGGCAGGGCGTGGACACCCTCAGCTCCCAGGCTTCTTCCATCTAGGACCTAAGTCACCTCATCTGTAAGGGGAATGTGTTGGCGACTTTGACTGGCTGGGCTTGGGGCAGGTGTTAACTCTGGGACAAATACCTGGGATGGGGGAAGGCTGGATGGCACCAAAGTGGCTGTGCCTTCAGCAAACCTTTAAGTGTGAACAGGGGGCAGTGGTTGGGGATGGCAGTGGAGAAGGATAGACAGAGAGCCAGTAAAGATTCTGCCGTGTGATGTTTCACTGAAACTCAAATGAGAAATAAGTTTTGGATCCCTTCTCCTCCGGAACCCATTAAGTCAGGTTTAGCTTTGTGAGCTCATGGAACAAAGAACAGTTATTTTTATAGCAGGATCAGCAGTTATTTGCAAGCCTGAGGGCACTCGCTGGCATTATTGCCCATAAAAAAGCAAAAAAAGGACAGTGAGAGACGGGAATGAGCTTTATTAGGCAGATGTTGGTCTTGTCCTTCTGGATCCACTGCTCCCAGGGTCTTTCCTGATGCAGGGTATATGTTAGAGGCTATTCTCACATTTTAGAAGGCACAATATTCATCGTATTACGTGTTGTTGATGTAGAAGTTAGTGACACAAGGGGAAAGACACAAATGCCAGAGATGAGAGTCCCCTCTGGGGCTAATGTCTCCATCTCAGCACCTTTCTCACATTTTAAAAAAATAGTTATTTTTCAGTTGTAGTTGGACACAATAACTTTTATTTATTTATTTATCTTTATGTGGTGCTGAGGATCGAACGCTGGACCTCACACGTGCTAGGCGAGCGCTCTACTGCTGAGCCACAACCCCAGCCCCTGCTTTTCTTATTTTTATCAGAATTAGAAAAATAAAAACAAGAAGGCAAGTTTTTCAAAGGCTAAGATGATGCAAATAATGTTATATATTAATTTTAGACCTGTAGTAGCCTCTTTAGTGTTTCCTTGTAATAATTTGACATCTCTTTTGATCATTCATCATAAGTCTTTCTAATATCTTCCAACAGGTATATATGAATTTCATAAAGTGTTTGTTATTTACTGTGATCCAGAAGCATTAATGTCACAAATAAACAGAAGCAAAAAAAAAGCATTAGCTTTGCAGTTCAGTTGACCACAGTCCTGGGTTCAAGCAGGTGCTATACTGTTGTATCCTGAATTTGGGCAGGGGGTCGCCGGGTGAGAATCTACTTCAAAGTCATGTAGACCCACAAAGGCATTCACACCCAGGATGCAGCTCACCATGACCACTGCTGCATCCTGAGTAGGGTACAATTTATGGGGTACAAAGTACAGAAAGACAATTTTTATAAGAAAACAGCTTTCATTTCAGTTTCTCAGAAATAGCTCTTGTAACAGTTTTCTATAGAAGGCAGAAAAATGGAGTCTTAGGCCTGTCTATGACAGTTTTTGCTTCATAATTATCTTATCTCACTTATCAAAATCTTATATCTATAATCTATATTTTTTACTAATCTATAACCTATAATTTACACTCTTATTGATTGTATTTATCAATTCACACCACAACAATTTAGCCTCACTGAAGAAGCACAAACATTGGAATTCCTGGACAAAGGCTTGCTGACTGGAAAATTCCAGTCCTGCCTAGAGCCCACAAGTCCCACTTGTTGGGTGTGTGGGAGTCTCCTCACTGAAGTTGAGTTTCCCTCTCCCCAAGAATATCACGTAATCCCTTACCTCTCCCTCTCCTCTCCAAAGGGCGCCAAATTCAAAAGTTTTCTCTACCAATTGCCACAGGACACAGTGTCCTCTTGCCATTCCTTAGTCACCCTGTCAATCAGCACCTGCCACATCACCTATGCAACCCTTCTTAAGCCAAAGTTTGCAAGCTCACACTTTCTGCCCTCCTCCTTTTCTTTCTCTCCTCTCTCTGCTCTCTTTCTCTCTGCCCTCTTTCTCTCCTCTCTTTGCTCTCTGCCTCTCTTTTTCTTCCCCTTTGGGCAGCCCCCCAATAAAATCTCTTGGTTGAATCTCCATCTCTGGTGAGTCACTTGCCTTTCACCACTTATTAATGTTTTAATTTCTATGATTGGCTAGCTTACATGATGATAAGCAAATGACTGAGCTGTGGTTTTTGTCCTTATATTCTCTTTGGATAGACCAGGAAGCGGCTGTCCTCCCACAGAGCTTCAGTCTCTGCAATGGGTGATGATCCCTGGCCAGGCAAATAAAGCTCTCTTTTGATTTGAAATTTGGACTTAGAGTGCTTTCTGAGGCATCTCCCCATAACAAAATTATGGAACACCATTCAGCAGACCAATATGGTCATTTTGGAAATCTAAGAAGGATAATAGAGAAAGGAACAGATTTTCTATGAACAAATAATAGCTGAAAACTCTCCAAATCTGATGAGACATAAATCTATACATCCAAGAAGCGTAGTAAACTTTAAGAAGAAAGGAGATCCACACTGAGACACATCATATTCAAATTGTCATCTGAGAATTATATTGCCAGAAAAAACTTTTCAAAAAATGAGGGAGAAATTAAGACATTTCCACATTTTAAAATCGGATTTTATTACTAGACTTGCCCTATAGTAAGTGTTGAAGGGAGTCCTCCAGTTTGAAATGAAAGTATGCTAGACAGTAACTTGAAGATCTCTGATAAAGGTAAATACATGGTCAGATATAAAAACCAGAATTTCTGTTTTTCAATTTCTAAAGGGTTTTAAAGATAAATGCAGGACTGAGTTTATAACTCAGTGGTAAAGCACTTGCCTAGCATGAGCAAGGTCCTGGTTTGATCCCCAACAAAGAAAAGCAGAAAAGAAAGAAAATCATAAAATGGAAAGAAAGAAAATCATAAAAAGAGGAGGAGGAAGAAACACAAACGCCAGTTTTTTCTGTTCCCTGAATTTGAGGGCCTGCACAGCCTCCCATAAGAGCCAAATTTACCACGTACCTGGTAAGTGGAGATTATACAATCCTCAACACCAGAGAAGGTGCCAGGCTGGCTTGAGCTGCAACCTTCCAGAGCTCAGCCTGGCCAGAGAGCATGCCCTTATGTGCCACATGGTCCTAGGTCCTCCCTCCAAAGTCTGGGCCTCAAGCCAAGTTTTGCTTCTAGAAAAGCCCAAGGAAACAAGACTTCTGGAGGGCCTCCCTGTGTGGATTCTCCAAGTTCTCTACCTCAAATTAGAGTCCTGGGAACTTGCTCACCCTAGCACTTGGCTCAGACTTTCCAAAATAGGAGGCAGAAATACTTCTCTCTTTCTGCCTAGCCACACACCAATTGGCAGTTTTTAGAAGTTCATCAGCAACTTCTAAATGTAGCTTCTGCAGCGTTTTCACCAAAAGCCAATTAAGAGCTTTTATTTGACCATAATTTCAACACTCATAAGCAATCAAAAAATTTTGTAATAGTACTGGGGATTGAACCCAGGGGCACTTTACCACTGAGCTATATTTCCAGACCTTTTTTATTTCTGTTTTTATTTTGCAACAGGATCTTGCTAAGTTGCTGAGGTTGGCCTTGAATTTACAACCCTCCTGCCTCAGCCTTTGGAGGAGCTGGGATTACAGATGTGCGCCACCGTGCCTGGCCTAAACAGTTAAAATTTAAGAATAAACAACAAGCCAATGTATGTGAATCCTTGGACAGCCGCCCAGAATGGGAACAAGGCTGGAGTTCCCCAACCTGTGATCCATGATGGACTCTGGACCTTTGGCAGTTTCCACAGTTGCACATACAAACATGTCGCATTCCGATAGAGAACATCCTGAAAGAGTAAATCTGTCAACATTAAAACATGGACATGACTGGGAACCAGAAAGCTAAAACACTGACTGCCTACAATTGTGCTTGGAATTCCACAAGGACCTCTCTGAGCAGCTGCTGCTCTCACCAGTGACGCCTGTGGGCCTGCTTTGCTGTCCCCATCTGTTCCTGGGGGTACCCGGTGACTAAGGCACCCTGTCTTGCGATACCTCCCTCCTGAGTAGCCCCTACTTGTACAAATCTGCATCAGACACAGCAGCCAACTCAGATCTGACCTCCGTTTCCCTAGAGATCTTGGTTCTTCTCTTTATCACTGGCCGCCAACCCAGCAGGAGCCCAGCAGTGGCAAGACACATCTTACCCTCACATCAAGCAGCAGCCTGTGGTCCCTGTGGAATGTCCCTGTCCCTGTGCTGAGTCAATAAATCAATTTTAGTTTGGTTTTTGTCTTCTGCAGGGCTATAGATTGATCGCAGGTGCAGAGGCAGAGGCTCAGCAGAGAAGAAACCTCCCTGGGGCTGGGTTTCTGCTGTCTTCACTGTTGGGCTCAGGTTCTCATAGGACAACTCTGTTTTAATGAACTCCTGACACCAGAGCCAATCAATAGGAGGCACGAATGCACTAATCAAGTAGCTAATTATCTTTTTTTTTTTTGAGGGGTAGGTATTGGAGATTGAACCCAGGGACTCTTTGACACTGAGTTATATCTTCAATTCTTTTTATTTTTTATTTTGAGACAGGATCTCACTAAGTTGCTGGGTCTGGCCTTGAATGTGTAATCCTCCTGCCTCAGCTTCCTGAGTCAGTGGGATTACAGGCATGTGCCACCATGTCTGGCTCTGGTAAGTTATTTTTTTATACCTTTATTTTTTTATTTATTTTTATGTGGTGCTGAGGATTGAACCCAGAGCCTCCCACATCTAGGCGAGAGCTCTACCGCTGAGCCACAACCTCTGTTAATGCCTCCCATTTTTGTGTGTGTGTGTATGTGTGTGCATGTATTTGTGTGCACCAAGAATTCTGATAAAGCTTAAAAATTGAGAATTGTGACAAGATTTAAGACTCAGAATAGCCCTCTAGGGTTATTCTCAAATTATCCACCAGGGTCACAACACAAGAAGTGATAAAGAGAAGAACCAAGATCAAACCCAGGGCAGTCTGCTTCACCCCAGGCTTAGCCATAAGCACAGACTTGGTTCTGGTTCAGCTTTGCCACAGACTTGCCATGACCTCAGATAAGCTGCTTAGCTATTAACATATAGACTTGGTTCTATTTTCAACTCTGCTGTTTACCTTGGCATAACCCTCGATAAGCTGGTCCTGTCCAGGGTTCACATTCTCCATCTGCAAATTAGGGGTGTTCCCACCACAATCCTGTGAACTCCATTTTTGCAAGTTAACTGCCTACTTGACCTTTTATCCAGGACTGTGAAGGAGCTACAACTTTACCCTCCCTGAGCTAAGCAGCTGACTTGCTACAGCTTCCTGGATGCTACAGCTTCCAGGATGCTGCAGACATTACCAGGTGTTGAGATCAGGATCAAAGGATCTTGTTATCATAGCACAGCAGGTGGATTGAGCTTCATGTCCATGTTGGTCCCCCTCCCTCCCCAAGGGACATGGAGGAATCCAAGGGCCAGCTCTGCGTGTAGTAGGTTTGCATGGCAGCCAAGGAACCCTGAGCACAGGGAACCCACACCTTTTATAAGCCTGTCTAATCCTTCCCCAGAGGGAGATGTGATCTTTATTCAGTGGGCAGTAAACAAACCCACCTTTTGCTCTGGAAAGAGACACTCCCTCTCCTGCAGTTGGATCTCAAAACACAGCTCCCAAAGCCTGTGGTTGGAAGTTCGGTCTTCAGCTTGGGGCTCCTGGGAATGCTAGAGACTTTGAGAGGGGGACCTAGTGGGAGGTCTTGAAGACATGGGGGTGCCCTCAAAGGGAACTGTGGAACCCAGTCTCTTCCTCTTCTTAATTCCCGAGACATGGAGTGAGAGGTCTGGCTCCGACACGTGCTCCCATCATAGTGTAATGCTGTGCCACAGGCCCAAAAGCCATGGGTCAGTTGATCATGGACAGGAAACTCCAAAACAGCACATGAAATAAACCTGTTTTTTTTTTTTTAAACTGGGAATTGAACTCAGGGGTGCTTTACCACTGAACAACATTCCCAATCTTTTTGTTTTATTTTTTTATTTTGAGATAGGGTCTTGGGTAAGTAGCCAAGGCTGGTCTTGCACTTGCCATCCTTTTGCCTCAGACTCTCAAGTAGCTGAGATTACAGGTGTGTGCCACCATGCCCCAAAATCTTTTCTCTTTATAAATTGATTATACCAGGTATTTTGTCACAGTGACGGGGAGCTGGCTAATACAACTGTATGTTTCAAGGGTGTTCACTACACAGACACCACTGGAAAGATAGTCAGAAACAAAGGCTTTCAGTGTCTCGATAACATCTGAGACTTGTGGAAAACTGTCTCCAAACAATATCCACTCCTTGTTTTGTGCTCTTTTGGCTCCTGCTGAATTTTTGCACAAGCGAGCCACTGTGCCAGTCACTGATTACTCTGACCGGTGGAGGGCTGAAACTGTATCTATTTTTTTCAGACACAGAATTTAAGATTACTTTTTTTGGTGTGTGTATGATGCTGGGGAAGGAACCCAGGGCCTCATGCACACTAGGCAACTGCTCTCACACTGAGCTACATCCACAGCCTCATTGAAAGTATTTTTGACAGCATGAAAATTCCCTCTGAGAAGTTGTTCACACTGTTACATAAAAACTTCAGGAGGCCATAGTATCAGAAGAAGCTCCTGCACTAGGCCCCAACAGATCAGGCTAAAGATCAAAATGAGTCACTTGTGCTGAAGTTCCAGTCACCAAGCTGAAACCAAGCTGTTTATCTGACTTTCTGAGAAATCAGGATTAAAAAGACAACAGCCAGGTATCCCACACAGGCCAGTTTTGATTGGCAAGAGGATGGAATTCTCTCTGCCTTGATCCTTACACAAAACAGCCACCTGGGGTAACCCCCGTGTCCCCAGTCAGCTGTGTCCTACTTCTGTTTCCTTGTCCCTGTCTGATGAGCAAAGTGACTTCTCAGTGACCAGCTCACTTCTCGTCTCTTCTTTCTTCAGTCCTTTCCCACCTACAGACCCATCTCTTCCGCTCAGCTCACGGGGACACTCGTCCTGCTTTACGGAATAAAAAGACAAAGCCAGTTAAGATCTTTAAACTAACTGCTGTCCATCTGATCTCTGACAATGCCTTCTGAGTCAGGAGCGATGGTGTGCAAGGTGACAGAACCTCATTGAGAAGCAGGATTGTAGCACCTTTACACAGGTATATTGTCCCACTGTTGGAAGGTCCACAGGCCTCCAGACACGTGGCTGGCTAATGTGACCCCTCGGCTGGGGCTATCGCCCAGAGCGCAGGGGAAGTTCCTTTCGTGAATAACCCTCCTCACAGGCTGACTTACTGCCTGTTAAAAATTACTATAATGGTTAAACAGTCGTGGGAATTAGGAAAATTGCTTTGGACGCTTACATTTCCGTGTAACAACCACGGGCTATTAATGAAAATTTTGTGGGTTCTTGATTTAGGAATCAGGTAATTCTATATTAGGGTCAAGATGATGAGATTAAAATGTAACAAGCAATTCATTTGCGCTTCTGGGAGTAGCTGAGTGATGGTTAATAAACCAGATGGTGCCTGGTAACTGCTCTTATTTATATGGAGCAAAAGAGATTTTATAAGTCAGGTGAGACTTCTAAGGAGGCTGGTGATTTATGTGGAGAATTACATCCTGACTTTGGGATAGATTGCAATTTGTGGTTGGTGATAAGATTTCTGATACTTTCTCCTTTCCTTGGCAAGTGCACAACAGAAAAAGTAAGTACAATGAGTTCAGGGTTTTCCTTAAATATTTGTGGAGCTATAAAACTGAGGTTGACTTTACTGAACAGACAGTAAAAATAAATTAGTTAAATTTACATTTAAATATGATACATTTAAAATGATTTTCATTTCTAAAAGAGGATACAAAACAAGCTGAGCTGGGCACAGTAGCACACCTGGAATCCCAGCTGCTTGGGAGGCTGAGGCAGGAGGATCATAAGTTTGAGGTCAGCTTTGGCAATTTTGCAAGTCCATCTCAAAATAAATTGAGAAAGGGGCTGGCAATATAGCTCAGTGGTAGAGTGCTTGCCTAGCCTGTGTAAGACCCTGTGTTCAATTCCTAGTGCTGCAAAATGAATGAAGATACAAAATGAAAATTGTCAGTCTGAAGAAAGTTTGCTTTTATAACATACTGTCTAGGCTAGAGAAGAGTGTATGCTGTGCTCAGGATGAAAAACACTTCAAGTCCAATGGCTGGTAAAGCTTGTTGTATCCCTCTGCCCTTTGGTTCTAAGGCCACGTTCGACAGAAGCACTGCAAGGAAGTCAGTTAATAGAACAGTGCTGTTCCCATTGCTTCCTCTTTCTAAACCACTCCATGCAGCATCCCACTGTCCCTCAGTAACTAGCCACATTCTCTTGGATTT